GCTGAGACCTTTTGCCACCCTATAGATCCGCCCTGATGGCTGGTCCCAGGTGGAGTTAATAGGAAGCTTTAATTATCTCCTCCACAAGATGCTCAGCAAACAGAAACAGGCTTTGAATATGTGTGTTTGGGTGTGTAGAGGTGTGTGCGGTTTCTGTAAATCAGAAAACAAACAAAAAGCTTGGCTACAGAACACGATATTTACTCAAATGTGTAAATTATTCATTATTAGATGTAAATAAAACAGTCTGGCTAATATATTGAATTTTCTTGTTCTGATTCTGTTAATAATCAGTGCTGAGATATGAAGTGAAAGATGAATTTAATACTATAGTGCAGATTCCAACAGAGGGCGCTCTAAACACACACAGTGATAACAAACTGAGTCATTAACTGAAGACTAGCTTGTCTGTTAGCATATTGCTAATATAGTACCACTCAGATGTGAACAGTGTCTCCCAGAAAAGGAACTTAAACTGTAGCAAAAACAAACAGCAGTAAAATAAACCAAATAACTGACACTGTAATCTGCACAACTGTTAGCAAAGTCAATCAGAGACAAAGTAGAATTAGCAACATCACACTAATTACCATTGACTTTAGCAGAGTCAGCACATTTCTCAGTAAACAACACAAGAAGACACATAAATGATTATTACAGTTTCATTAATGCACACAGAGCCCACAAACACAAAGTAGAGTACAGTAGTGAGCTCTGCTGGGAGGAAACTCAAGTAGAAGAACCAAATATGTTTATTTAGTTGTTTTATAAATGAAGACAAAAGAAATGAGCAGATCTTCTGACTCTGTATCTGATCATCAGTGGAGCCTCTCCTGGATCCTCTGAACATTCCGGCTCTGTCGCCTCATCATCCACAAACCTGCTGCTTGTTGTGTTAGTTTGGCTCTGGTTCTGTTGTTGGTGGTTCTCCTGTAATTCTTAGCTGTGTTTCCAAGTGAGTCTCATTAGATCTTCACCTGCATTTGTTTGTTGATGACCGGTTGATGGATTTGTTTGCATTTTGCTCGTCGGTCTAGTTTGTGATCCCTGCCTCTCAAAATTCATCCAGTCAAACTACTTTATCAACATCTGACTGATTAGATTTATTTATAAATAACAAACATAATGAATTTTATTAAGTAGTTATTTAGAAGGTGAAGATTTATTGAAAATTAAATGATAGATAACGTCACTAACTTGGCTGTTTGCTGGTGTTTGTGTGTTTCATATGAAAAACACCTGAAAAGTCTCTTCACTTTTAACTATGATGTTCTTTTTGTTTCCCTCTCAGAACTTCAAGTCTACAGAGAAACAGTGAGTAAATGTCAGATCACACATTTTATCTAATGTTAAAGTCATTATTACATTTAAATCTACAGTATATTGTATTTATTGTAAATATGAGTGTATTATAATGAAATGAAGGTGAATAAGGATTGTGTGTTAATGTTGTAGTGATGAGAACAGTAGCAGAAATATTTATTTAACAGAAACAACAGAATTATTGACTCGAGACAATAAATGTCATAAAATATTGATATTTAGTCAAATAAATTACAGGCTGTAAAGTTTCTACAGTGATATATTTCACACAATCTTCTATTTTCAGAGCTCAGCTCAAACCAAAGGATCCAGAGAAGACATCAGGAGCTCTGATCAATGTAGTGAAACACCTTTCCAACCTGAAGTTCAGAGTGTGGGAGAACATGCAGGAGATTCTCCAGTACAGTAAGTTCTGTTTCTCTTAGGGTTGATCTCTCACACACAGTCTGCTTCTGCACTGATGAGACACTGTTTATAAACTATTAGTAACATGTTATCATGTTCTCTTTATTCAGGGTGTAAAAAGGACACTGAAACTGTACTTAAGTGAAAGTATGAATACTGTACTGTGCAGAAATCTCACTCAGACAAAATATGAAGTGTGGAGATAAAAATATACTCCAGTGAAGAAAGAAGAATCAGTGTTTAAACAGACTCAAATACATCGAACTAAAATGCAAATTGAATTTTTAACGTATATTTTTAAGTATAATTTTTAATGTTTGAAATAATTCATAGACTTTGTAATTGTTTTATTCATCCAAGGACAACATTTATAAAACAATGATATTTTATATTGAAATTGAGGCAAATATCAATTTTTGTCTTAATGATAAAATAGAAAAATATAAAATACCAAATTGTATACATTAATTAAAAAGTATGTTATTGTATTAATTAAACAATAATATTAGCATGATTTATTTTGTGCTATTATTATCATTATTATTATTATTATTATTATTATTATTAGGTGAGGACATATGAACTCATCTTCAGCTCTAAATGTTCCCTAATTCTAGATAACGATCACTACAGCTAGCATGTAATGCTAATGTTAGCTAGCCAGTGAAAATACAGTGAACAACTTTATGTCTTTATAATAAAAATCTGAGTAAATAATATATTTGGGTCAGTGTGCTGAAGGGGGCTTTTTGCAGCGTGTCTTCATATTAATTATCATTCATATCATATCTTTTTCTGCTCAAAACCAATTTAATTGTTCTCTGCACAGCAAACCAGTATAATGTATTTCATAACTAATTATTTAGAGATCATAGTGATAATAATATAGATAATAGATATAATAACATATAGATCAGTATTACGTAATGACAAAAAAACAACAGATCAACTGACCACAAAAAGATTTAACAAATCCCCATAAAGGAGAAAACCAGAGAAAAATGATTATTCAGAGAAATTAATTATTTTGATTTTAGGCACTAAGTAAATGTGTTGGGATTAGATTTTACCTTGTCATTTGATCAAGAGAGAAAGTTTTTATAATTTATGATAATATAATAATAATTTTTGTAATGGTATTGTAAAAATGATCTGAAAGTCAGTGAGTGTGAAAATGTTAATGGATATTCAGCTCTGTGAGTGAATCACTACAGAAAAATGCTGCACTCAGATTAGATCAGTCACTGGACTATAATGACCATTCACTACTGAACATACACTTTAGTGCTGCACTGAACTGAACATCAACATTTAGTCCAGGATTAAAGTTGATCTGTGTTCTGGAATCGACCTTTAAAGCTGTTTTACTCACAGTAAAGAAAATAGTCTGTAGAGGTAAAACATTTACAGAAATGAGAGAAAAACATGATGTTTCATTGTGTTCTCTCTCCTCAGCCCCTGTTACTCTGGACCCCAACACTGCACATCCAGACCTCCACCTGTCTGATGATCTCACTGCTGTGGAAGACAGGAAACAGAGATCATCACTTCCTGATAATCCAGAGAGATTTGATAAGTGGGAGTGTGTTCTGGGTTCTGAGGGTTTTAACTCAGGGACACACTGCTGGGACGTCCAGGTTGGAGACAGCGATGATGGCTGGTCACTGGGTGTGATACCAGAGTCTGTAACAAGAAAAGGAATCTCCTTCTGGGGTTCTGTGTGGAGGCTGTATTATGTTTTTGGTGAATATCAGATACGCTGTCCAGGACAGCCAGTTCTCTCCTTCACACCTAAAGAGAAGCTGCAGAGGCTCAGAGTGCAGCTGGACTGGGACAGGGGGAAAGTGACCTTCATTGATCTTCTAACCAACACACACCTGCTCACTATAACACACACTTTCACTGAGAGAGTTTTACCATTTTTCTGGAATCGTTCTGTTCATCCTCTGAGGATCTTACCAGTGAAGACGTCAGTAACAGTGGAACAGCACAGTTAAAGTTGATGCTGCTTAGAGTGAACATTTATACAGGTAGTGAGTGTCTGAATTATGATCATAAGAATATGTCACTACATGTATATTTTATATAATGTGTTTGTACCATTCCATCCTAACATGTCTGTGTGGAAGTAAAATGCTGATTTAAAGTGTCATAGAGTGACTCCTGATATCATTACAACATTAGAAACGTTATTTGAGTGAGATTTCACTCATTTTCAGTGTAGATTTTATTTCTCTATCATCCTGCATTTTTCTCCATCATTAGATCTTTAAAACTCTGCTTTGGTTCAGAGATTAATAGTTTACTGTGTGAAATAAACTGCATTATATTATAAACTGAATGCATGTTGTGTATTGAATATTATCCCACAGCATCATGTAAAGATCATCCAGCAGATCAAATGGAGGAGATCTGTCTAAAGCAGTGACCAACACACACCCAGAGACAGACTGACCCAACACTCACAGTGTAATAACACAAATATTACACAAACTCATAATGTAATAAACTGCTGATAATGTAATAAAATCCTCCTCCAATAATATAATAAACACTTTAACACATAATGTGGTGAGATATTACATTATACACTGTTTATTACATTATAAAATGAATAGAGAAAAATGTGAATCACATAATGTAATAACACACTAAATCTTTTAATAACTCACTTTATTAATTAAGTAAAGAATAAAGCAATAACCTGAAAGTTTAATACAAAAGTGTAAGAAACTGACTGGTTTAATAATCTGACCACGTTTCAGGTCATTTTAAGTGTGTTTTCTGTCTGTTTAAACTGTTTGTTAACTAGTAACTGAATGTCATGATAAACAAAGTATTTTTCATTCGTTCTTTCACAGCTTTTCTTAGTTTCTTCCACTCATTTCAGGACACAGTGTCTCTGCTCTCAAATGAACAAACACATTTTATAAATCTCCAAACACAGAGTGACCATTTATCACACTCACTATGTAGCTCCACTCACAGCTTTGATGTGTCTGATAAATGTGTTTTAAATGCAAGTTGTTTTTAAATTAATCAGTTTTTTTTTCCTGCAGTTTCTATTTTTTGGAGAGTTAGAAAGTTTTCTGTTTTAATTAGTGTTGGATGATCAGCAGCCTGTGTGTTTGGTGTATCAGACTTCAAAGAACCACAACAATCATGAATTCTGTCCAGTAGATGAAGCTGTGACTGACTTTAAGCTAGGAAAGTCTAAAACATTTGTTTCTTAACAGTGAAGTGAATTCTTCTTTCTTTTCTTTCTGAGTAGCAGCTTTTCCTGTTTTGGACATTGAACAGGTCATATGATGTCTGTCAGTAGTGCTTTCAGAACAATCTGAGATTCACCAGAATGATCAGATTAGAATAACTGTCTGTTGCTTTATTCACCATGAAACCCAACACTATATCTGAAGTTAATAAACAGGCTATTTGGGAGAGACAGCAAAGCTGACTTTGTACAGTTTCACTCTGTGGGACCTTCAGTATGGAGGACCAGATTAGAATAACTTAGTAAATTAATATATGAATTAGAATTGCAAAGAATAATGATAAATCTATACAACTATCTATATATTAATGAATAGAACCTTACAGAAATTAATGTCTGCATTTACCTATGTCTGTTTAGTAATTTCCCCTTCTCACTAATGTATTTTTTTTTTGTTATTTATGTTTCTTTATCAACACTATTTTCTTTTTTTATTTATTTATTTCCATAATTATTCATTTATCTATTTATTTATTTCTCTATTGATTTATTTCTGTATTTCCTTGTTCTTATGCTAATAAAGGGGCTGTCAATCAATGATGTCACAGTGTCTTAATATTCCTATTGGTTGATCGATATCAGATTCTGTAGATCGATTGTTCATGTCTTGCTCTATCAGCGGTAACTAAGGACAAGACAGTACAGTAATGGCTGCTTACAGTCAGAGATCTGAGAGTCGCGGCTGATCTGGCTGAAAATGCAGATATGGATTGTTTACTTGTTCATGTGGAGGCTGTGGGGACAGTTTGTTCTGTTTTGCTGCCTCTGCTGAATCAGAGGTCGACCCTGCAGTGTTCAGAACTCTGGAGGAGGTGGTTCATCATCTTTTTCTGCAAACTTCAGATCAACCAGACATGTGTATAATTCCAATAAAAAATAAGCAACATATACTTTATTTAGTTATTTGTATTTAATGGTTAATTTACTGACCCATTTATTTTTTAATTTTATTTATTTTTCATTTTGGCAGATCTGATTCTTCCATACTTCAGCACATTCATATAGTTCAAATATTGTGAAGTGTGGAGAAACTGCTGTTTAATCACAGAATAAACTCAAGACTGCTTTGGAGCCTCTACAGAAGAATCTGAAATTCTTAGAGGAAGCTAAACAAGACTATGACCAATCATAGCATTAGGTTTGAGTAAATGTGTGACTGAAAAACTGTTGGTACATCAAATAAATTAAGAATTTACTTACCAAACGTGTTTTGAAGCCTTCAAAGTTTCCAGAAATTGCTCTAAGCATGCACTTCCTGCCTCTGTGATGAAGAGCTTGGACCTCAGTATGGATGAAATCTTCCTCAGTATGAGTGGAATCTCCGTGAGTATGGGTGGAGTCTTCCTCAGTATGGTTGGAATCTGCCACAGTAGAGGTAGAATTCTCCTCAGTACAGGTGGAATCTGCAATGTACAGTTATTTTTGCCAAAACATCAGTTGCTCAGCCTTGTGCCAAAACACTTATTCGACTCTTCATGTTAGCTGGGTTATTAGCCTGTTAGCATGTTAGCTAGTGTTAGCGTTAAAACTCCAGAGAATGTACAATATAAACCAAATAGAGTCACTAATGGCTGTTATTTGTAACCTCTGCAGCAAAAAAACTTTTATGTGTAGTTTTGTACACTGAGTTTGACATACTCCATTATGTATCTCTGTGTTTATAGAGAATCAGGTGGATTCTACTGGGTCAGTTTGCTGAACTGCAGAGCCGCCCAGATACTAGAACTCATATAAAAATGGTACATCTTGTCTTACTTCAAATTGTTAGTTGATGCAGTGTGTTTGCTATGAGACAGTCCTGAACTCAGTACAGGTTGTTAGATTTTGTGCAATGCAGAATTACACTGTTAATTTTAAGGTAATTACTCCCTCATAAGATTACAGTATTTTTTCCATTAATTTCAGCTAAACTGCATATTTTCACAGTTAAATTGTGTATTTTCTGCACAATATAGCAGTAAAAAATAAAGTTATTTATTGTTTCCTGATTTAAGGTAATTTAATGTATCTATTACACTGAAATAGTATTTTGGACTGTATAGTCATTGACTGTTGCTATTTGATAGTTTTTACCGTAATTTCTTTGAACATTTTTACAGTGGAATAGAACAGATATGTACACCACAAATAATCGCACACAATATTTGTTTATTTATTTAACATCCTATCTTTCACTCTTATTTCCTTATTTCTAAAATAAGTACACACATGCATCTGCATGTCAATGCAACTAAAAAGAAAGTATAATACAATTATGTTTCTTAACTAAAGCTACTGAAGATGTACCCTTGATGTACCCCAGTGATGTGATGGTACCACACCTGTGATGACTCTCAGTACTCTTTTTTCTGAGAGTGTACAGGTCTGGTAGGTTTTGCTGTTGAGATAAAAGAGTGCACATCTCTGACTGAAGAGTCTATGATGTCACACTGCATAAACTCCCATATGTTTCAGGTTATATGATTTCATGTAATTCATACAATAATTGTCCAAATGAGTAGTAGGCTTTGATTTTGACTGCTAACTTGATACATTTGTTAACATGCTGATGATCAGTTATAATGTAGGTTACAAAAGAACATTTATGCTAAGTGACTAACCTTAAAGCACTACTGCCACTTGAATACAGTCATTGGACAAGAAAGTGAGTCTATGTTCAAATGTGACCAGTTATGTCAGAGACATCTATGTATGATATTGCAGAGATATCTACTGAAGTTGGCATGCTAACTAGCTAGCTCTAGCCATCTTGTAATACCACTTCATACCTCAAGAGGCAAAAGTGAGTCACTGTAGCATTGAGTCTGGCATCAGTGCAGCATAGACGACTGTAGTTGTGTCATCATTTTGTTGTCGGCCATAGAGAAATCGAGTGTAGAGTTCCTAATATGGGCATAACCCGGACTACAAAATGACACACGACTGCAGTGATCTATGAGAGTATGACGAAGTAGCGCTGCGCCAATGTCAATCATTTTAAGGTCCCGTCCCCAGTTAGACCATGAAAGGTAAACACAACGATCAGCAGCAAACAAAAGAAGTGACATAAACAGAAGCAAAACAAGACTTAACACTGGTGTTGCTTTCTGCCGCTGGAGAGGCTCCTGGAGAGTAAACGATGGAGTTTAATGCTGAACTTGCAACGTTTCTTCTAGACTGGTAAGTAAACAGCTGTTAATGCTGACATTGGCCATTTAGCAACAACTTATTAAGGTAGCTAATTGTTTAAAGTTACTGAAAGTGTTGATGTATTTGCTAAGTTAGAGGATGGACTGTGCATTTCCTTGTTTTTATACAATAGGGGTGGACACCACAACTTTCTGGTGATATGTTGACGCTTATTTGTTTGGGGTGTGAAGAATTTGACAAGTTTAGCTTGTGTTTAAACTAAAGGTGTACTTAGATTTTGAGTTTGATGAAGGATAAATTCTGTTCTTAGGTGTCGTGGTTCCCGACTGCAGATCCATAGTCCCATGGCCTGTAGAGTGGCAATTCACGAGCCCTCTTTTTGGAATACACTAAAATAAGAAGGGTTATCTCATATAGGCAATCTCTATATTTATAACTACCCAATCCTCATTTACTGATTTCACCCTCACCCCAGGAAATATTTAGTTCGTGTTGAATTAACCACCAGCATGCAGAGTATTTCTAGGTGACTTTTTTAAAATTAAGGATATCTTGCTTTGATATTCAGTTCACAAATTGTTTCAGTCACTGTTCCTC